AGGACCACCAAGATCTGGGAGATGGTACCCCACTCAGCTCTGTTCAGGGGGCTGCTGATCCCAATCTCCCCAAGCAAGGCCATCCCATGGATGGCCTTCTGTTGCTCCACCGGCCTCTCAAGCATCAAGTATGTGGAGTTCCACCAAGTCTCCACATTCCGCATGATTTTGTGCTGCAGGATGCTGAGCTCTACCTGTTTCTCCCACAGCATCTTGCCCACCTTGATGTTGCAGGGGAAGTACCCCACCTGCATTTCAAAATCAGCTGGCTTGTAGCAGTAGTGGTGGCAGCACCATCACCGGTATCCCTCTCCCCCTCCAAGGCATCCCTCACTATGAGGTGCAACCCGTGTGCCACACAGTAGATGCCAACAAAGTTGGCATCATGGACAGCTTTCACCATATTGGCCCCGTTGTTGGTGACCATGAACCCATGGGTGAACTTGGCCTGCCCAATGAGCCACCCCTGCACCATGCGGTTCATAGCCCCCATGATCTCCCTTGCCATGTGGGACTCATCCAGCACCTTGGCTTGCAGTAGAGCCCACCGATGGCCTGACTGATCACATCAGTGCCCTGTGAGGGAGAGGTAGGCATGATTGCCACCCTGGCTGCTCCAGATGTTGGAGGTGAAGTGCAAGGCTACCTGCGGCACTGCCTTGTGCAGCTCCTCCCTCAAGTACTCCCTACATGCCTCATACAGGGAGGGCACCACCGCCCTGCTAACGGTGGTACGTGCGGGCACTTTTTAAGATGGGGCCAGAAGTGCTATGAGCTGCCTGAACCCTGGCCACAACTAGGGAGAAGGGCTGGCTATCCAGAGTAAGCATCTCCCCAGTGCTCTGGGTTATCTCACTTGCCTTGGGAACACGCTCCCCTTTCCATCCACCTTTCCCCCACTGGTCCAGAATGGCCTGCCTCTGCTTTGGGGGGAAAGGGGCTTTGGAGCGAGCGGGAGACTTCCCTTTCAGCACACTCACACTAGTGCCAGGCTGAGCAGGAAGAAGGGCAAGGGGGTGCTGCCTCCTCAGATGCATCAGCATCGCCATGGTGGAAAAGTGTCTCACATCCTTGCTGCAGCTGATGTGCCTTCGGCAGTGCTGGCAGATGGCAAACCTAGGATCAT